TTTTTTTTTTTGGTTAAAACTATACATTCCAATAGTAGTATAAAGCAAGCAAATCGAACATGTGAGTCTGAAGTTTAGGGAGGAAGTTGAGATTGTAGATATAAACTGGGGGAGGAGGGAATGGTTAACTTGGAATGTCTCATTGAGATCAAGAAAGGAAGAGGGTCCATTGGATTTTATAAGATAGAGCTCTTTATTGACTCTTGACTCTTTATTTAATGGTAAGGATGAAAGCCAGATTGGGGTTGATTTAGGTTTCAAAATAAATGTTTCCACTCCCTACTTTTTAAAAAATCACAAACAAGGGAAACTAGAAATAGAATCACTTTATGTCCAGTCCCAACCTCTTCCTTGATCTTTGTAGTCATTTTTCTAGCTTCCTTCTGAACATTGTTCCTTGGATATCCAAACTGAACATCCAAAATTGAATTCTTGATTTCCTCCTATCTACCTTGCTCCTTTTTTCTTTGTCTCTCCTGTGGTTGCGCCTTACAGTGGCATACGGGGCCTATCTGGCTCACGATACCTCTTTGGGGCCTGTCTCTACAGTACTCCTCACTGTGTTCCATCACACTGATCTTCTTGTTCTCCAGGCGTACCACACATATTATCACTTCAGAGCAGTTATAGTTACTGCTCCTCTGCCTGGAAAACTTTACCTCTCTTGGCTTTCTCCCTCACTTCATTCAGGTCTCTGTTCAAATATCACTTTGTCAAACAGGCCTTCTCCAGCCACTATAATAGATGTAGGAAGTTATCCAGTGAGGTTGACTTTATGGAGGTTTATGTTGAGGAATTTCATTGTGTTTCAAAGTGTAGAAAGGACTCAGATGTTCAGGGAAAACCATAAATGACAAGGTAATTATAACTCCTGAAAAAATCATAACTAAGGAAATATAATTATAGAAGGTACTTTATCTCAGCCGTGAGTAATATTTATATCATTCTTAATGCAAACAGTGAATGTAAATTTAATAAAAAAGGAGATACAAATATATTGGAAAGGTGAGAGGAAGAGGGGCTGTAAATAAGCCATATCACTTTAAATCCATGAAACATACTTAAATTGGTGACAAAGGACAACACTCATCAAGATTCAACTATCAGTGTGTTGCTATGTATAGGAACATGCAGCAGAAGAACATGTTAAACAATCCATAGAGATGTGGTCAGCAAAATCTACGCTGAGAGAAATTAGTGTCAACCCACCTTGTTTCTTTGATAAGTAAGTTTGCAAGGACTGGGAGTCAGGGGACTCCAGGGGAGGTGCTGTGGCCTGCGGATCTAGGGCTGGTCTCATGACCATTATTTTTTTATTGTGGGCCTTACTTTAATCCCAGTTGTTTTGCTTTGGGGGGCAATTAGTTGTTTTGCTTCATGAGCAGAAAATATAGAAAGTTCAGGTCAATCCAGGTTAAGATTTAGCCAGGTGAGTATGTGGAGGAAGTTGGGTGCAGAGGAGTTGTGAGTATTTGCAAGAATGAATATAAAGCAAAAAGGATCAAAGCTGGATAAGAAGAGAAATGATCACAAGAATTGCTTGATAAGTAACAGAAAAAAATACAGGATTAATGAATTGAAACTCCTGATAAAAATTGTGAGGTTATTGCAGGGGGTTACTAAAGTAATTGAGATGGAAAGCTAGGTAGTCAAAAAGTTATGAAGGTTACAAGGAATGTACAGATGATGACAGAGTCTGAGTGAGACCTGGCACTGAAAAGGAATGGCTTAAATTGTGAGAAGGTAAAGATCATTGGTGTGAGGATAGAAACAACACAGCAGTCATTTCCTCAGAATAAATTAGGGTCAATTCTTTTAAAATGTTTGCTATATTACCACCTTGTCTGCTGGATATCTTGTAGCAATTTACACTCCACCCCTTATATTATGTAGGAATATGAAAAGAAACTTTTAAACCTTAAATTCCAGTTTATATGCCATCAGTTCATTCTTTGATATTGTTCTGGTAGAATCACACAAAACTTGTATCAATTTTGTCATGCAGTCCCACTGTTTCATATGTCATATCTTGAATTTCTTTGTGACTCTGAGACAGGCATTCTGATCTTTTAGAATAGTCCAACATTTACAAGGATTTATTTGATCACTTTAATCTCTAAATCCATTGAATGATTTGCTGTGATTTTGCTAAAAGAATTTTCTTTTCCAAGATTCTTCTTCAGAAACAGTGTGTCTTTTGACAGTTTGGGGGCAAAGTAGAGGCAAACTCTAGAAATGAAAATTATCATATGGAAGCTAGACTTGTGGCTCACATCTATAATCCTAGCCACTCAGAAGGCAGAGAGCCAGAGGAAGATCATGGTTTGAGGCCAGCCCAGAGGGAAAAGTTTGCTATATTCCAACTCAACCAGTAAAAGCTGGGCATGGTCCCAGCTGCTCAGAAAGTGTAAATAGGAGGATCAAGGTTCAGCCAGACCCTATTCAAAGAATAAGTAAAGTAGAAAGGGCTAGGAGTGTGGCTTAAGTGGTAGAGCCTAGCAAGCACAAGAGACCCTGAGTTTTAGGAGGAAGAGAGGGAAGGGCAGGTGGAGGAGGAGAAGGAGAAGGAAATTAGTAGAATATTTAATAATATTGATTAAATGAAAAATAACTTCATTATAAAAAGTTGAGGTTTCTGGACTACAAAGTATATGTTTGAGAGTGTGTGTATATTTTCACTGTCTTGGGAAGGTATGGAACGCAGGTACTCACCTTTTTTGGTAAATTATTGCCACCTCTATGGTATGCAGTATACTTAAAAATTTTTTAAATGCAGATTCCCAGCCCAGGTGCAGTGGTTCATGACTATAGTCCCAGCTACTTGGAAGGCTGAGGCAGGAGAATCTCTTGATCTCAGGAGTTCAAGGCCAGCCTGGGGAACATAGATCCTGTCTCAAAAAAAAAAAAATTAAAAATGCAGGTCCCCTTTAACCTTCCACTTTCATTTATAAGAATTGCTGTAGAGATAGACTTAAATAGGTGTGCAAGGACATATTAAGGACAGACGTGGCATCATTCTTTGTAGTGCCCAAAGATCAGAAACGATTTAAATGTTTATCAGTGGATAAATCAGATCATGGTTGTTCATGGAAGGGAATACTAGGATCAATTGAAAACAATGAAGAATGTGTTCTTGATACTAAATAAAAAAGCAAGGCACACCTCAGTTTATTTAGTATACTAGTGTGTGTGTATATGTGCCACCTCTGGAAGGCAGCATTAGAACTGAATCAATTGTTGCCTCTAAGAAGTCAACTGATACTTGGGGATTTAGGTGGATTATATATTTCTTGTACCTTCTGGGTTTATATCTGTTTGAAAAATTAATATTTAGAGCTGGGACTTGGCTTAAGTGGTAGAGCACCTGCCTAGCAAGCATGAAGCCCTGAGTTCAAATCTCAGTACCACCTAAAAACTTAATATTTAAATTGTTTTTATAGTATTTTATAGGCTAGAGAAAATATAAATGACAATATATATTTTTCTAATGTTGATTTTGTAGTTTTAAAAATGACCCTTGTCTGTTAAATAAAATTAAATGATTAGTATCTCAGAATAGAATTGAAGTAAAAGTGTAATAACCGAAAATGATAGTGTCATTTCAGTATATTCAAATCATGCATTTTTGTTTTTGTGTCATTAGGTATTATGACACTGTCCCCTTTTGATCAAATGAAGACTGCCTCCAATATAGGTGGATTTAATGCAGCAATTAAAAACAGTCCTCCTGCCATGTCTCAGTATATCACTGTGGGGGCCAATCCATTTACTGGCTTCTTCTATGCTCTAGAGGTATGAGTTTCATCACCAGTCATGAGTAAACCTATCCTTACTTTTTTTACCTTGTCTGAAAAATTGGATACAGTAATGTAGCATTAGAAAGATTAATCAATTTACATTTCTTAGTTTGAATTGAAGCTAAAATTAATCACAACTAGGTTTTTTCTAAATTCTTTAGATTAACTGAAAAAAGTATTAAATAGTCAAGATAAAACAAGCAGTTTTGTTTCTGAAGTCTTGAGTTCTTTGGTAGTTGAATTTTGTTTAAATATTTTGCAATAGTTAGAAGCTCTGGCTTGTTAATTATGTAGCCCACCAAGGATTTGAATAAATGAGAACTTATAAAGACAGAACAAGCTACCAACTATACTTGATATATGTGGTGAAAATTGCTTCCTTAAATAGAGAAAAGTTAGATCTTACATTTTATAGCTCTTATTCTTACTTGAAAAACAGCCTTCTCAGAACTATCCAACCTGCCTTTTTACTTTTACAAATAGTATTTTAAAAAGAATGAGGGAAAAGAGCCAGTTATATGTAGATGGGAAACCATAGCACAGTAGAATAATGTCATCTTAATAGCCTAATTTAATGTTTTAGTTATATTTTAAAGAGAGAAATCCCAAAGGTAAACTAAACTATTAGTGATTGTGGTTTTCAATTACAGAATTAATTTTTTTTATTATATTACTACTAAAATAAAGTTTCTACCATCTGAAAGAAGCTGAGCTGCTGGTCCAGGCTTTACAACTTTTCAAAACATTTTGAAATAAATCTTATTTAGAAAATAGATTTTGATTCTTTCTAAGCTGCTAAGTTTTCTCTTTCACCTGTCTTGTTTTACAGGGAAGCACACAACCATTATTATCTCATGTTGCACTAGCAGTTGCAAGTAAACTCACTTCTGCTTTATTTAATGCTGCCAGGTAATTAACTGACAATTAAAAATTATCTAATTTGTATCTAGCATGGTTTTAGCTTATAGTTTGATAGTCTGCACTTTAAAATCCTTGAGGCTCTAGTTTTATTCTAAAGTTTTTTTTTTTTAGTGGTTGGCTTGGTTGGAAAAGTAAGCACGAAGAAGAAGCTGTCCAGAAGCAAAAGCCAAAGATGGAACCTGCTACCCCATTAGCTGTAAGGCAAGTCTGCCATGTTTCTTACATTTTAGTACTTTTAGAAATGCATTATTACATTTATGGTCTTCTAGTATGCTTAGATTTAATTTAATGGATTTAATTTCATGAGTCTTTGGAGCTTCTGAAAATCACTAGTGTGGGAATCTTTTTTGCACTAAAATGTAAACTCCATGAGAAGAGTGATTCTTGTCTGTTTCGTTCACAGCTGCTCCTTCTCATATAGCAGGTGCTCAAGATGTACTGGTTGAGTGTGCTTTTTAACAAGCATCTGTAAACTTTAGCTTAAGTTACTGGAAAATTAGTTTAATGATAGTGTTAAGTTTCATTCTTTAAAATGTTCAGACAGAGGGAATAAGGGAAGAAGATGGAGACGGTGAACTTATTTTTAAGATACATTATAAACTCATATGAAAATGTCACAGTGTGTCCCTGCTGTACAACTACTGTATGCTGATTAAAAAAAAAACTAAATGGGGGGTGGGGGCAGGGGGGAGAAATGAACCAAGCCTTGTATGCACATATGAATAATAAAAGAAAAATGAAAAAAAAAAAAAAACCTAAATGGGAATGGAAAAAAATGTCCAGTTTGGCACTAAGCTATATAAACTTAAAAAATATTTAGTGATGAAGCAGTAGGATTGTGAGGTCAAGGCCAACCTGGACTACTTAGCCAGACTCTGATTCACAAATAAATAAATGAAATTAAGTAGGTAAATAAATAGTAAAAACAGGAGTCAGATGTATTCAAGCACTCTTCAGAATATTGGCTTGTGCTTTTTTCCTTGTTTACTTCACTAGTGCTTTAGAATGTGTTAGTTCTTCTGTGAGGGTTGTTTTTTTGTTTTTGTTTTTGCTGGAGGAAGCATGATTTTTGCTTGATTTTGGTTTTAAATATTATTACCTAGGATAAAGTACTACCCTAAAGAAAACAATACCCCCAACTCCTCTTTTTAAAGATGTTCTGCACCTGAAGAAAGCCAACTATTTAATTCTTAATAAAATTTATTGAAACTTATCTTCTAAGATATTTTTCATCGTATTTTAAAATATTGTAACAAACCACATTTCCTAAATTCACTCAACAGTCAAGAAATTGGGGTCAGGCACCATAACTTTTGCCTATAGTCCAAGTTGAGTGGGAGGAGGATTGTGCTTCTAGGCCAGTCTGGGCAAAAAAGTTAGTGAGACCCATCTCAGCCCATAAGCTTGGCATGGTGGTGCATGCCTGTCATCCTCGCTATAAGGGAAGCATAATGGTCCTGGCCAACCCTAGCAAAAACGCCAGTGGTAGAGTGCCTGCCTAGCAAGTACAAGGCTGTAAATTCAAACCCGGTACCACCAACAATAAATTGGCCCAATGGCCCTATATATCTCAAATGCATATAACAGAGTTTGAGCACTTTGTCTCAGGGACAGCTTCTCAAGATGAGCTAGTCCTTTTCCAGTACCTCTTTACTTCTACTTTACCCATAGTTCTAAGAAGGTTGATTATAGGCCAATTGCAGTATAGCAGTAACTCTTTAGAAAAAGAGAAGTTCTTGCTCTGGCAGACACATTAGTGTCAGCAAAATATGCTACCTCACAAAAAAGAGAACAGAATAGGAGCAATGACTTAAAATAGACAAAAGATGCCTCTATAGGAGCAAAGCAGTCTAAAATTTGATTGTGAGAGTATTTCTATGAATTATATTTCATATTTTCTAAAAGTATAAAGTTGTGGATTATAGATACCCACAGAAAACTTACCTAAGACTGTTTTTATTTTTTTTATGTATGTATTTTATATTGTAAATGTCAGATGTGCTTAACTAGTAAATTAACTGTTAACCCAGGCAAGGTTCATATTTCTTTATGTAAAAGCAGATGCACCCTATCTTATTTATGGATTTTATTATTCTGTTATAAGTTTGTAGATTCAAGTGTGATTTGAGCTTTTGTTTTTTTGTATAACAGATTTGGACTTCCAGATTCTAGACGCCATGGTGAAAGCATATGTCTGTCTCCGTGTAACACACTGGCAGCAGTCACAGATGATTTTGGCAGAGTTATTTTATTGGATGTAGCTAGAGGAATTGCAATACGTATGTGGAAAGGTACATCCTTACAAAGATCCAGGAAAAAGTTAATTCACTTTTTACTCCATTATTTGAGCAACATCCTTCAGCTTCTGGTCGAACACAGTATTTAGTCCTTTATGTTTTCACTCTCTTTTTTATGTTTTCTCTTTTTAACATAAACTCAGATCAGCAGCACTTGGTCTAGTAATCAGTCAATACATCCTTTAAGTTTGATCACCTTATAGGCACTTTTAACCACTGCCTTATTGCATCATCTTTCAATTCTCATTGTCAATTTCTGAATTCATTTTCTTGCCCCTGCCACATTCATTTCCCTTCACAAGGCTGCTCTTGAGCCAAATATTCTCCCAAACCTAAAATGCCAAGTCCTTCAGGTTTAAGAAAATAAAACAGGCAAAATCCATCTTCACTGCCTTGACATAGTTACATCCATATGCTTACATCAATCCACTTACTTTATCTGTAAACTATGTCACTTAGTTTCATTTAGCTACTACTAACAGACCTGAGTATGTGATTTTCATGTTGTCACCACAATATCCTCAGAACCCAGTCTCCTTCCATGGTGCTTCCTCACTCATGGTTCTCACAGACCGCCTTCTTTGTATTCTGGGAAGGAAGGACAAGAGGGGAAGTAGACAATTCTGCCAACAGAGGCGTTCCACTTTAAAGATGATTCTCCAAAGTCCCTCTAACTTTTATCCACAATAAATTAGCCAGGATCTAGTGACATGGTCAAACCTACCTGTAAGGGAGACTTGAATAAAGTAAACCTGAATAAAGTAAAGCCTCTCTGTCTAAGGAAGGAGAGAGAGAATGCATTGCCTAGAATCATCTAAATAATACCATGTGTCTTCATAGATCACTGGTTAGAAGCCATAATCACAGTGCAGTCTTGTCTGTACTTAACAATCTGAGAAATAATGGATTTAAGTTACTCTGAACTAAATTGAGGCCACTATCACCTTCTTTCCATGGCTGGCAGAGTGGCTCAAGTGGCAGAAAACCTGCCTAGCAAGCAGAGGCCTTGAGTCTAAACCCTAGTATCACCAAAAAAATAAAAACAACCAACCAACTAACCAACCAAACAAAAACCTATCAACTTCTTGCTAAAGAACTCATACAGTGACAGGTGTGCAGTCTTTACCTGCCATGTGTTTTAAGTATCTGTACAAGTGCATGTCAGTGCTATAGACACATAATTTGCCCTTGGTATTTGGCCTTTGGAACAGCATCAAAGAAAGCCATGTTCTCAAGCAAGATTTGTCCAACTGGCTTAAGAAGACATTGCTATACCAACTAGCTCAAATCTGCTATGGCCATCTCATTGCTGGCATTGTTGCCTTTGTGCAGGTGCTTGTCCTTTGTATTGTGTGCTGTCCTATGAGAGGGCCACCCAAAATAAAAGAGTGTCAGCTGCTTCACTGTCATACATAGGAGCGTTCAGACATTGCCGTCATGCTTCCTACCAAGGGGCTTGACTAGCAAGAAGTTGACTTGGTCTTTTGACTTTTTATTTTAAAGCCAAACCTATAATCTCTCCAGAAATTTTTAAAAGGAAGCAAGATTTCAAAGAGAGGGAAAGAAAGAAATGGGAGAAGTGAAGGGAGTGAAGGGGAAGTTCTCAACAAGGCTGCAGTGATATTTGTAGTATTTCCTTCTAAAGAAAAGTGATGTGAAGCAAATATAGACAGTAAAATAGTGAAATTTGAGGTCTTAGTGACAGATTATTGTATTTTTTACTATCTGGGTGTGGCTGAAATGGTAGAGCACTTGCTTTGTGAATGCGAAGCCCTGAATTCAAACCCTAGTCTCACCTAAAAAAAAATGTCATAATAAAGTAATGTATTTCTGTAGCTTTCCTGATACCCTCACTTCCCTCTAAGTATTTCAAAGTGCTTCACAAGGCTACTACTGAGCTCAGATTATTAGCTTCCCTTTTCCTCTGTTCCCAAGGGTACCGAGACGCACAAATTGGATGGATTCAAATTGTAGAGGACCTCCATGAAAGAGTACCAGAAAAGGTGGATTTTTCTCCTTTTGGAAATACTCAGGGTCCCAGTCGAGTAGCTCAGTTCCTTGTGATCTATGCTCCAAGGAGGGGAATATTAGAAGTATGGAGCACACAGCAGGGACCTAGAGTGGGAGCTTTCAACGTGGGTAAGCACTGCAGGTAAGTTGCAATTCCTAGAATTTGCTGGTTACATGAAGAAATACAGGAATGCTTTTAGTAAAGCTGCTGTTTAGATTGCAAATTGCTTGAGAATTATAATGTTCTCTATTATGGTTTTTCCTGTGAGTGCCTGATATGTAATTAAGAATTAAGTATTTAATAACAAATATTACTAAAAATGCCACAATATGCCACTGAGTGAAAGTTAGCTTGGCACAGCCTTTGTCACTTACTTAGGCTGTGAAGGCTTGGAAGAAAGGTTACTACAGGTTCTCTTAGTGATGATGTTAAGCAAGGTAAATGCTTTGTTTGCTATTGAAATGTAAGCCTGATTGTGTACATTTAATTTTCCAGAACCTTTATAAAAGGTAGAGCTCTGCCGGTCAAGACCTGCTTTACTTGGTTTTGGTATCAGTATTTATTTGTTGTATTAATGCTCCTGAGTTGTGGTAACATAGCCTCTCCTAGCTATAGTAAAAGCACCTTTTAGCATTTCTGCTTTCTCCAGTATTTTTACCATTTTGGCATGTGATTTCCATAGGTTACTGTATCCTGGCTATAAAATAATGGGCTTAAATAACATTACCAGTCAGAGTTGGCAGCCACAGACATACCAGATCTGCCTTGTTGACCCCGTGTCTGCAAGTGTGAAAACAGTGAATGTTCCTTTCCATTTAGCTCTGAGGTAAGGTGTACTGAGGTAACTTTTCATAGACCCTGGGCTTGTCATTCTTTGTTTTGTGGTTAATGATTTGCTATTTCTTTTATCACCAGAAGATACCTTAAAGTTAAATAGAAAGTATATGAAGGAAAAAGAAAATTGGGTTGTATCAGAATTAGAAGGAACACAATTTCATATTCTGTAAGAAGTTCTATTTATTATTTTAGTGATAAGAAGAGTGAACGAGCCAAGGACATGCATTTAGTGAAGAAACTTGCAGCTTTGCTGAAAATGAAATCTCCTAATATGGGTAGGTATCCTTTAATAAAAACAATGAAGGATTTCTGTCATTTTTCGAATCAACAAAATGTTCCAAATGGAACTATTAAAATACCTTTGTTGATGAGCTAAATCAACTCCTTTCCAAAAAGGAGGGGAGGTACATGTCATCGTCTCCTGCACTTTTTCTTGAAAGTGCACTGTGAGGATGAAGTATGCCATCTTGGAGATATTAAAATTTGTAACAATAAAATAATAGTGTAGGAGAACCCCAACATCCTTTAAACTGATAGTACAAATATGCCCATTTTCTTTCAGAGGAATAATTTACTGTATTAAAAAATGAAAATTCTACCTTGATTTTTTTCTTATAGATTTGGTTGAAACAGAAATAAAGGAATTGGTTCTTGATATTAAGTACCCTGCAACCAAAAAACAAGTAAGTGTATCTTAATAAGTGAACTTTCTCACCAAGTGACTCTTCTATATAACTCTTAATAAAATCTTCATTTTCCTGTTTCTCTCCATACACTACAAACTAGTGTCCTTTTGTATTTTATTCATTTTCATCCCTTTTTGTATTCCCACCTGGAAGTTTCTGTTGTTGCTCTCTTTTGTAAAAATGAAGTAATATTACCAATACACAAGTGTACATGTTTTATACATGCATATTTGTGTGTAACATATATTTGGATTGAAGAGTAATAGTAAAATAAGCACACATATGTGACTACCCAACCTAGGAAATAGACTGTTACCAGGAAATCTAAAGAGCATGTTCTTCTTCAGTCTCACTCTCTTCTTCCATCTGGATGGTAACCCCAATTCTGAATTTTGTGTTTCTCTTGCTAACCACATCATTTCTGAGTGACTCCTCTGAACCCTCTTAGTGCATTTTCTGTCTTTTAAAACTGTGTACAAATGGAGACATGCTCTGTATCTTCTGTGACTTATCCTTCCTTCATTGTTACATTGCTCTAAGTGATCCCTGCTGAGGTATGGAGCTGTGGTTGTGGTAGTTTATTTATTTACTATGCCATGTGAATTCCACTCTGTGATGTAAGTTATTCACTCTCCTGTTAGTGAACATTTATCATTTCCACTTTTTGCTATTCAAACAATGATTCCATGCTTATCCTTGTACACATTTCCCTGTGCACATAAGCCAGTGATTCTTTTGAGCATATACCTAAGAGTAGAATCATTAGGGTATGAGTTATTATAGCTGTACTAGTTTATAACAAATTGTTCCTCAAAATAGCTCTACTAATTTATACTCCCACTTGTAATGGAGGAGAGTCTGTGTTTCATAGACTCAGCATTCCATGGTATTGCAGACTTGATACCTTTGTTCAGGCTTGTGGTTATAGTATGGTGACTGATTGTGACTTCTTTTATTCCCACTCCTTCTATCCAAACCCTTCATAATGCTCCTCATATCCTGATTTCACAGCTTCTTATGTGGCACTTCGGTCCCCAAGGATAACCCTAAACTCCTACTCTACCTTTTCGTTTTATAGTGCTGGGGTTTGAACCCAGGGCCTCTTTCATGCTAAGGCACTCCACTACCACTCAGCTGCACCCGCAGCACTGCTATTCTTATTTATTTATTTTTGGTGGGACTGTGGTTTGAACTCAGAGTTTCATGTTTGCAAAGCAGGTGCCCTACTGCTTGAGCCACACCTCCAATTCTCTGCTAGTCTATTTTTAGTTAGAACCAAATAGTTAATTGTTAGACTATATATTTTCTACTTTGTGTATACTAGTCATGGTTCTCCAACTTTTTCCTCTTTAGCTCTTTTAAGTGCTTTCAAGTGGGAACCTTACCAAATACTCCATTTTCATATGTCACAGCATTTAAAATAATGCTACTGTGAGAAATACAATAAAAAACAAATCACAGTGTTTTTTTCCTATTCTCTTACACAGTTACTCAATGCTTCTACTACTCAATATGGGGGATTTTTTTTTTTCACATACACCAATTTCTCCTAAAGATTTTTGTAGTCAGCACTAGATGAGTGTTCCCTAGTTCGGTTCAGTTCTGACACTACATACCTGAAGAGAGTGTCAGATCTCACAGGTTGAGGGCTAGGTCCCACAAGACTAACCCCAATTCAAATACTAGTCACCTATACTTTTGACTGACTATGACTCCTCCTCAGGTTTGATTAATCTGCTAGATGGCACACAGATTTCAGGAGAACGCTTATGTTTACCTGTTTATTATAAACGATGTTGCAAAGAATACAGGTGAACAGCCAGATGGAAGAGATGCATAGGGCAAGGCACATGAGGAGGGGCACAGAGCTTCTGTGTCCTCCCTCCAGGCAAGTCACCCTCAGGAACCTCCATGTGTTCAGCTATTTGAAGTTTCAGCATTTGAAGCTCTCCAAACCCCATCCTTTCAAGTATTTATGCAGGCTTTATTACTTAGGCATAATTGATTACATTATTGATTATTGGTGATCAGCCCCATCTTTAGCACTTCTTCCTTCCTTAGGAGGGCTAAAAGTTCTAATTGTCTAATCACATAATTTGGTCAAATGGGAACCAGCCACCATCCTGAGACTATCTAGGAGCCCACCTCATTAAAATAGAACATGCTTCTATCTCCCAGGAAACTGCAAAGGTCTTAGTTCATTTAGGAATCTGGGGTCAAACATCAAATGTTAGAACAAAAGATTCTCCTAGCACCTCTATCTGCAGGGGTTTTAGGAACCAAGGCAGAGCTCAAACATTAGAACAAAAGATTCTTCTAGCACTTCTCTTGCTCAGGAAATTGTTAAGTTTTAGAAGCTCTGTGCCAGGGACTAGAGGTAGAGACCAATATGTTTATTTCTTATGTCACAGCTACATACATGGGAGAATTTTAGTAAAGAGTGATTTTTTTGCAGTCATTTTTTAATACACTTTTGTCTTACTGTTAAACAAGAAAGTCTCTGGCTTTTATTCCATTGTTCATTCTACTGACTGCTAATTGGCTTTCATTTTCCCCCAGGCCAAGTCTTAATTATTGAAGATGACACTGTGATTGCAAGGTGGGCATCTAGAGAGGCAGTAGAGAGTCATAGCTCCAACAATGCTCATTTTGATGCAGTTACTGTTCTTACATCATGGAACAACAAAATTGAGAAACCTTTAACACAGTGCAGATTATCTTCTTGGGTTTTTCTTTTTCTTTTTTTGTAATTACTGAATCGTTTATGAAGTGTGGTTTTTTTAAATTACAAATGTTGGAAAACCCAATAGCAAAAGTTATCAGTTGTCTTATGACAGCTAGAGGAAAGGAAGAATCCATTTTAGGTTTTGGCAGACTAAATACAGTGATGGCCAAGAAAGCAAGGCAGAAACTAGCCTGTATAGTAGTTGGAAGAACAGAGGCAGATTACATTCATCCTGAGTTCTTGTATCTTTATATCTTCTTTTTCTTGGCCATCTTCTAAGCCTATTTCCCACAAGTACAGAAGTTAATTGTGTTATGATTTGATCTTTGTCTCATAACACATTCTTAAATTACATTATTACATTTTTAAAGTATTTAGTCTCATCAGTTAAAATCCAATTAATGTGCTAAGGTAAAAGGATAAATAGGAACTTTTAACTCTTGTCTAATTCATTGGTGATCCTGATGGTTGCTACATTGGACATGGGGAGAAATTTTAGAAGTGGTGAATGAAGACTCTAAAGTAACTAGAAGGCTGGGAGTGGTGAGAAGTAGGTTGGGGCAGATACGATAGCTAGCTAGCATGGCCTGTAAATTTAGCCTGCTATGCACATATCCATTAATTGATCTGTAACTAAGTTGGCAGCTCTTATTACAAGCACAACAATAACCTGTGCTTTTCATGTATGCTTAGAGAGTAGAGGCTTATTCAAACTCTTCTTATTGGTGATTTTGTCTCGGCCATTCTGTTAAATAGCAGTTGCCTTCTAGTTGTTTCATTCCCTGTCTAGACTTTATGTTACACCATATTTCGTGTGGCATGAAGGAGATTACATATTGCTTGCTTTAATTCTCAGGTATGTATGTATCCACATCTTAAGCATGGAACCTCCCTTTGAAATTTGATATGGTGTAAGTATAGGCATAAATATAAAATATAAAAACCAAAGCCATTGTCTTATAATTACTAGAATTACTCAATATCTTTCTTTTAGGCTTTGGAAAGCATTTTGGCAAGTGAACGTTTACCATTTTCCTGCCTTAGAAACATCACTCAGACTTTAATGGACACTTTAAAAAATCAAGGTAATAGAGTTTGTACTGTTTGGAGGTAATGGCTTCACAACAAATTTTATATCTCCTTATGGCGCTTATGATACTATTATGTTACTTTAATGTGGAAATAATATATATTAAAATAAGGAAACCTATATCTTTGATCTATGGGGGCCTTATTATTTCCTATTTAATGTATGCAGTTGATCTAAGCTGTCTCTGAATGTATTGACTGTATTTCTGATTGGAACTTTTTTTTGTATGAGACTCGCTGTTGTGAGAAGAGATGGCTGTATAGAATGATGAGTAGTGGTTATTCAGACAGAGTTGTAGAACATTGGGAAAGCCATTGGCACAAGGGGGAAGTCAGCCATTGATATGCACAAAACAGCCAGGTTCTCTTGCTTCCCTCCTCATTTGCTTTACTTTATGACAGAATAGAGATTTTTGTAGGGTGCATTCTTAAGTAATCTCATTCTGACCCAGATAATGATCAAAATACTTATTTTTTAAATTAATGTTTTGTTAGTGCTTACCATGTACATTGGCTCATCCGTTTCTCTCATGAGCAGAGTTAGGACCTCCCAAATCACAGACTATAGTTAGATATTTGTCCAAATACTGTTTTGTATTTGTTTGAAAAGAATTACATTTGAAACTGGGCTATAACTGCATATTCTGTCCAATTGAGCTAGCAAAATTCATCTTATTCTGAATTCCCAACATCAATTAAATTGTAGTGTACAATGTATTGAATTTATCAATACATTGCTTCATCAATTGCTTATGTTAATCATATAAAGCCAACTTTATATTTAATTGTATTTATATTTATGTTTAAGCCAGGCTACAGTGACTTTAAAAAAATCATACTATGTTCTTTCAGAACTTTAAGCATCACTTTTTTTATTATTGATTTGTTCAATAGATATGTAAATCTGGCTTTGGGTAAACAGTAAACTTCTTAGTGTTCACAACTTATTAGAAATACCTCTTTTATAAGACATACAAGGGAAGTGTAGCTCAAGCGATAGAGTGCCTGCCTATCTAAGCATGAAGCCCCGAGTTCAAACCCCAGTACAATCAAAAGTAAAAAAACTATATTTATATCCTCTATCCTCAAGGCTTTTAACAAAGTATAAAAATATATAGAAATGAAAATTATCTTGCACATGTTGGAAATAAAACCACAACCATAAAATAATCACAATTCAAATTTTACCCATAAATGAGAGTCCTAAAATTTACCTCTTTTATA